GCAACTTGTCTTTTGTATTGAATGCATGTGTTTTATTCATTTATTGTATCATGAATGTATATGTGTGTTCATATAATAAGTATCGATTGTACCTCAAGGTCGTTGACATTTCTTCGCTGTGCAATTATAATCATCAAGAGACTTCTCTTGAACACACCGTTCCTTAGTTCATTGCAATATTGAATGTGACTTGGCTTATTCTTTAGGTATTATTTATCAGTGAATAGTTATATTCTGATTATTTACCATCTGTTATTATTGTTCATTACCATATCTGTATACTTCATAACTGAATTGAAATAAATGATTAAATGCAATCAGACTTGGAATGGAATCATCAGCTCTTAGCGAACACAACGAATGCAGTTCCTCCAAGCCGTCGAAAACAAAGCAAATAGCAATAATTATAATCTCATTAGTATTCGACTTGCTCGCCTTCACCTCAATTCTACCACTGTTTCCGATTATTATCGACTTTTATGCGAAAGATCCGCATCGAGTTGGTTGATTTTTAATGCTTTCTTATGGTTCTTTCCGTGCCATCACCGTTATACAGCAGTTGTTCTTAGTGCTTCCTGGTCATTCGTCCAGTTGAGCTGAAATCTTAGCCAAGTCGACTGCTCTCCTTAAGGGCAGAGTTATTTGGCGACCGCTTTTAAGATAGAGGTGAAAATATTGCAGTAGGTTTAAGAAGATCATTCTTTCGTCAATATTGCCCGCTGTAAACGAATGCTGTTCTACCCCATTAGTGGCCGATTTTAACTATGCCGAGAAATGTTGACTTAGAGCCTGAACTAGTGACTTTTCTATTCCGATCATACTGTTCTATTCCAAGGAGCAGAGCAGAATAATTCCAAAAAAGACGCATGGAGTAGAGCAAAACGGTTTGAAAATTTAGGTTACGGCGACTTAACAGAACAATTATCAACAAGAAAATTGGAAAGCAGAATAGAATAGAATAGTGCGAGGGTTGGGATAGAAGCATCACCAGCCTGGACACTAATGGAAATTTACAGACTGAGAAATGAAGAATTCAAAATCATTTCAATCATCTTAGAATATTAGCAGTTAGCATCTTTATGACAATTTCCTGTTGAAGATGCAGATTAGCTGTCAATATTCAAACTGACCATGAATTTTTCTCGAGAATTTCATTCGTTTATAGAATAGCGGCGTGTCCAAACGTTAGGGAAATATTTAACGTTTTATTTACTTTTTTTGCAAAATCTGTTCAACTAGTATCAATGAATGCATTCAATAATATTTATGATGCTATCTATCAAATGTCATATTTAATGGATATTTCATAATAACAATAATAATAAATGAATTTGTGAGGATACTCTTTACGATCTGTTTGAAACATCGACAAGAACATTCCAAGATGCAATTGGTGTACCGTATTTTAAGCGTTACAATTCAGTTCTTTTCGGAGGTTTGCTTCATATTAATTATCGTCTTTATCAGATCACTACCAGTTTGATCAATTGGCAGCGATCATCGCATATTCCTATTTTACTTTGATCAATAGTGCGCTATCAAAATTATTTTACTTCAGTTGATTTACTTTTTAATTAATTACATTGCGTAAGCACTAAGCGTAACTAACATCAATACAAGTTTCAACTCAAGCTGCGACTGAATCGCTCGTTTACTTGACACCAGTTACATCGTTCCTCTCTCGTTTCAGTCATAATCACCTAAAATATCGCTTTTGCATATAATATCTCATCATTTCAGTTATAAAAATAATGATTTTAAAAATGAATATAGTTCCATTAATGGTCACAACAGTAATAATGATAATGGTGCTGATAATTTTGATAACATTAGTGATAGCAACTGTGGTCATTATGATGATATTAGTAGTGGTAATAAAAGAAATAATAATTCAGGATTGTTAGGATCGTTATTTTCTGCATTGCAATTTTTATCATCACCTGTGTTAGGTGCTTTATCTGATGTTTATGGAAGAAAACCCATTTTGATTGTATCACTTTGCGGGAGTTTGTGCAGCTATTTGGTCTGTTATTATCATTATTGTTATTATTAACTTTGACATTATTATCGTTATTAATTATTAAATATCATTTTTGTAATAACTATGCAATAATCATCTCTCAATAACAACAGTAATAATAACAGTAATAAATAATAGTTATGGTACAATGCATCGAAATTTTCAATATTTGTACTGTCACGTGTAATTGGAGGTATCAGTAAGGCGAGCACATCAATTTATACAGCTATAATATCGGATTTGTACTCAGAGCAGAATGTTGTCGGAAAAGGAATGGTATTTATATTCTTCATTGTTTTTATTATCATTACTTTATTGCTATAATAATTACTATCACTATTTTCATTATTATTGGCTGTTACAAATTTATTACTCTGTTGCATTTAGCATTGCCTTGACTGTTTCGTTTCTTATCATTTAAACATTTCAATTTATCCTATCATTTAACATTCTACTATGAATTCAAGGCTTTGCTGGG